GAGGTTGGCCGGGGAAGCAGTGTGCACCACGGGGTGGGGCGGGGGTGGGAGTCTGTGGCACGGTGGTGTCCAAAAGCCTCTGCAAGCCCTTGGAAATCAGTGCCCTTACACAAGACAGCCTTGCCATCAGCTCTGCCCCACACAGGGGCTCCCAGCTCCCGGGCCTGTGCTCGGACCAGGCGTTTTCCAAGCCTGGAGGGTTTCAAAAGCCCCTGTCGGGTGAGACCCAACTTCAGGGACTGGAGCAGGTTGTCCACAAGTCAACAACCGTTGCATGAAGAAAATACTTTCTCCCGCTCATTTTAAACCTGCCACCTACTAAAATTTGCAGGCAACAGGTTTAAAAGGAAGAAGAGGAAGTACTTTTCTGGCGCAACAGGTAGATAACTGGTGGAGTTCACTGCCGCGGGAGGCGGTGGGGGCAGAGAGCATTGCCAAGTTCACGGGGTGGACAAATGCATGGATCTATTAATGGCTGTTGAGCAGAATACTTGGAGATGTTTCTTCTGGCATCTCTAAGCCAATAAAGGTGTATGCCAGGAAGGGTAATGAATAGGGGATGGATCACTCCACAGATACCCGGTTCAATGCTCGTCCTCTATAGAATCTGCTTCTGCCACCGTCGGCAGCTGAGCTAAAGGGACCCGGTGTGGCACCGCTTGTGTTCTTGTTATCTTCGCTGCAGCCTGAACTCAGGCAATGTCAATGGGAAGAGGCTTCTAGCTGGCATTGGGTTTGAGCTCCAGAGCGTTCCCCGGGGCAGGGGGCGGTAAGGCCGGATCCCCCTGCTACCCTGCGGCTGACGCCTTTGCTTTCCCCCCCCGCGCAGAGCTGCTGGAACTGCGGGCGCAAGGCGAGCGAGACCTGCAGCGGCTGCAACACGGCGCGTTACTGCGGGTCTTTCTGCCAGCACAAGGATTGGGAGAAACACCACCACGTCTGTGGGCAGACTCTGCAGGGCCTCCAGGCTCCGGCCGGCGCGGCCCCCTCTGCTGGGGTGGGCTTGGGGGTGGCCGCTGCTCAGCCGGACGTGGTCGCCGTCACCCCCTCCATCACCAGTGTGGCCATCGCGGCGAGCCCCAGCGAGACGGGCTCGTCCGCCGCGTCACGCTCCGGCACACCGGCCACTCCGGCGCCTCTGGAAGCCACGTCCCGCTAAGTGACCTGGCCATCGCCTGACTGACCAACAGAGGGGAAAGAAACAGAGGAATCTACAAACCGTCACTGCTGCTACTGCTTCTCTCCAAAAGAAAACCAGACTGCATTCAATGCAACCTCCTCAGCTACCTGACTCATGTTTGACCTCCAAAACGACCTCTCGAATTCACATATAATCCTCACGGATCCTCACACTGGGCTTTAAAGTGGAGTTACGGCAAATACCAATCTTCTCCGTTCTCTCTTCGGTTCTTTTGGGTTTCTTTTCTCAGTATGATTTGGGGGATGATTATCGTCGTCGTCGGTTTTTTCTTTTCTTCTTCCTTTTGTTTTTTCGGATGTGGGATTTGTCTGCCAACTCGACACCTCTCGCCTCGGGGAGCGGGAGCCCTTCGGTCTCTGTCCCGCTGGAGACGCGTGGGCACGTGCGTGCGTGCGGGTATGGATGTGCACCAAACAGCTCTCTCGGCCTGGCCGGGGGGGAACGGCGTGACAAAGGATTTCGGTTTCGGAAGGCAAGAAACTTCTTTTCGTCGTCTTTTTTTTTTTTTTTTTTTTTTTTTTTAAAAAAAAAAAAAAAAAAAGGATAGAAAATTAAAAAAAAAAAAGGAAAAAACCGTCAAACTCTTTGGCTTTAAGTAAAAACAGAAAAAAAAAAGAAAAAGGAAAAATCCCAAAAAAACAAACCAAGCGAAGTAAAACCAAGTGAAGGAAGCTCACCTGTAAACTACCTTGCTAGCTAGCCAAGAACATACCAGACTCACCTCTGCTCCAAAGGAAATCCAAAAACAAACACAAAAAAAGACAAAAAACCCAAACTTTTTTTCCACTGCCAAAGTTTGTTTCGTTCCGTTGCCGTTGGTTCTTTTTGACCTTCCCGTTCCTTTTTCGGTTGTTTTTTCGCGAGACGAGGAACAGCGTTCGTTTGTTCCAACCAAACCACGACGACTGCTTTACCGGTGCCGGGCAGAGCCGGCCGCGTCGGACTCCTTGCGTTCCTGGGGGCGGCGGGGGCCGTCCCGGGCCGGACTCGGCTTCCGGACCTACCTTGGAGGAGGACGGACGCAGCTCTGGGGATGGAAAGAGTTTTGGTCCAATAAAGCAAAAACAAAGCGAGCCGCCGAGGGCTTTGTGTGCGGGTGGGGGGGCGTGCGTGCATGCGTGCACGTGCACGTGCACCGGGAAAGCCCTGCTCCCGGCTTCGTCTCTGTGGATTATAAATGCCTAGGGAAGAGCCAGCGAGGAGGTCCGAGCCCCGGTCCTTGTCCAGAGACAGCATCGTTCCCAGCCGGACTGTGACAATCCGTCGTCGGTTCTCCGCGTCTGGTCAGCGCGTGAGCAGAAGGCCGCCGGTACCGGTGCCGCCTGGCCCGCGTACTCCTTCACTACCTCTGCTGTCCAGAGCCCACCCCTCTCGCTCCGGCATCTCTCCACGGCCGTCTTGGCTTCTTCCAAACTTCGCCAGGAAAAGAAAAGAAAGAGACGCCTTTTGTCCTCTCCCTTCGGAAGACTCTCGATTTGCTTGTAGATAGGTGTCCCCCCCATCCCCCCTTGCTTTTGTGTCTAGCTCTTCTCCAGATGTTTGCTCCAGTCCGGCGATGAACATGGCCATTGGGTTCATTTGGGTTGGTTCTTTTTTTTTATTTTATTTTTTAATTTCGGTTCTGCTTTTCTTTGCTCCCCTTCCCTTTCCCTCCCCCATCCGATTCTGCGACGATTTCTAGGAGGAAATAAAGGAAAGGGGAAAAACAAACACTTTTTCTTAGAGAAGAGGAAAAAAAAAAGAGAGAGAGAGACTGTCGATTATTTTGCATTTCTTGCATCATTGTATAAAGCGCAGAGGGCAGGAGTGCAATATGGAAAGTGGCATGGCTACGGGATGGGGGCAGCCCCGCCACGGCCAGGGCAGACACCCTGTATGCTAATGTGAATGTACATAGTCTTTGCAGAGGTCCAAAAAAAAAACAAAAAAAAGAATCCTATGGAAGCTAATAAAAGAAGAGACGTTTGCCAAATACCAAGAGAAGCCACCGACGTGCGTGCAGTTTAGGAGCTAGGTTTTAAGAAAAAAGAAAAAAAAAACCCGACAAAAAAAACAACCCTTCTCCCCCTCCCCACAAACTCGGTGTGTTCATTAGGAGCCTCAGTCCCGGACCCGCAGCCTCTGTCACGTGTGGTTTCTTTTTTAAAAAGAAAGAACAAAGAAAAAGGAAGGTTGATTTTTTTTTTTTTGCAAAGTTCCCGGTCGCTTGTCGCGGGGCAGGGCTGAGAGCAAGTGGCAGGATGCCCGTGTGTGGATATGCTTTTCTCTCCCTTCCCCTGTCCTGTAGCCGGCCGCAGCCTGGTAGAGCCGTGGTCTGGGTCCGTGGCAGCCGGCGACGGGGGCTCGGGGTCAGGGGCTGCGTTCGGCTCCACCGTGCGTTGCCTCGGACCGGTGCGCTGCACAGTGGTTCGCGTCTCTGTCGTGCTGTTTTCCTCCCCGGGTGGTCCAAGCTGGCAAAGACCCCCTGTCTCTCACAGGCGCTTCCCCGTGTAGCAGGGTAGGGCCGTGATGCCACGCGACCGTGTCTCCAGGCCCCGCGACCGTGTGTTGGAGGCTGGTTTGCTGCCGGGAGGGCTGTCAAAGGCGCTGCATGGGCATCGGCGTGGCTATTGCAAGACAGACCCAGGCTGGAAGTGAGGGGTGGCAAGGAGCTGCCATCATGCCCTAGGGTCTGGCCTGTCCCCACTGCCCCCCACCCTGTCAGCGGTCTGGGCAGAAGCGAGGGGGAGCTTTGGGACTGATTTCCACGGAGTCTGGGACTCGGTTTCCCAGCTCTGAGTGCCCGTCAGTTCGGACCTTGCATTTATTTGCTAGTTTGCCACAGCCAGAAGCCCCCTCGCTCGCTAGCCCTGCTGTTCCCCATCACGGTGACGTGTTGTCGCATGACCCTAGGAGCAGGGTACTCTGTCGTGGGCATCGACTAGCAGTGGGGGGCAGCAAGAGATGCACGTGACTCTTGGCTCGCGCACCTGCCGGGCATCCCTGGGTGACTCAGGGAAGCCAGTGTCGAAGCCCCCAGGTCCCAAGAAAGCAGCGGCCGCTTTCCAAAGCAAAGCCCACATAGCCAGCAGAAACGTCCTGCCTCTGCAAAACCCACTTCTTCGCCCGTGCTGTCCCGGGAGGAGCACAGCCAGAGCGCCACGCAGCTGGGCAGAGGCCCGGCGTCGGAGAGGGGAAGGCAAGGGCCTGTCAGCATCCCTAAGCCTGGAGCTACCCAACCAGACCTGCCACCTGCACCATCCAGGATGCCCTACCATGCAAGCTGGTTGGAGCTGCCCGGGCTCCCCAGCCAGGCCCCGATTGCCTGCTCTATCTCCGGCACGCCGGCAGTGCAGCTCAGAGCATCAAGGATGGCAGTTTGTGCAGGCACGTGGCATTGCAACCCAAAGCTGAAAGCAGAGAGGGTCGGTGTCCTAGCAGCCTCCAGACCAGGTGGGCAGGGTGGGAACACGACAGCTTCCCAAACAGGAGCGGGATGGCAGAAGGGAGAGTGGGGAGCTGCAAGAAAGGAGCCAGCGGCCAGCTCCAGACCATAGGGGCGTGAGGGAGGGTCTGGGCTGATCTGCTGGTGATGGGTCACGAGTCATGACATGGTCAACCTGTCTGCCCAGGTCCTGCGTGTTCCCGATTCTTTGCCGTCGTCACCCCCAGGCTGCGTGAGAAGAGACCGAGACCAGGCCAGAGTTTTGGGGTGCCTGATGCAGCAGCCACAGGCGTTGCTGGTGATGGTTTTCCATCGAGTGTGGCAGAGGATGCGTGCAGGCAAGCCCAGGCTGGGGTCTCAGCACCCCAGGGGCTGCAGGACCGTGGCCTGTGGTGGGGCAGGGTGGTCTGACGGGGGAGGTCAGCAGGCAGCTCTACCCCCAAGCAGCGCTGGAGCCCAGGGGCACGGGGGTACGGACGGGGTGGGGGCGAGGCGGCTGATGCAGAGACAGGGGCTTTGTTGGGCTTTAAGCATGACTCGCCACGGACCCATCTCCATGGTGACCTCCTCTTCCTCAATTTCCAAATTGAAATCCAAGCTGAAACCAAAGCAGCCCCTTCCTGCCAGGTCAGCCCCCACCTCTGCCACGGCAGCCCCCATTCCCGGCCTGCGCTGCCTTGCTGCCATGCTCGCTCCTCGACGGTCCAGGTTGCACCCTAGTGAGCCCCCCGTCCTGGGACACCTGTACCCCCCAGTCTGTTCTCGTGGCTGAGCTCGCTGGGCATGGTGCACAGCACCCTGGCAGCTGCCCCCGGGATGGGGTCAGGGCTGCGGGAACCCACAGTGCTTGCATCTCGTGGGCCAAATGCCCCTGCCCCCTCCTGCCTCTTGCAAGCAGCCAGACCCCAGGAGAGCGCATCTCGGAGACATTATACGCAGGGCTGCTGGATTAGGGGTGTGATGCCTGCCCTCAGGGAGACCCCCCTGCCATCCCCGGGTCCTGGCTGTCTTGAGGACTAACCAAGCCATTTCCCGGCTTTTGGGTTGCTTGGGGAACGTCTCGGCAGCAAGCTCCCCTTGTCCGCAGTGTCCAAAAAGCAGATGTAAACACGGAGCAGGGGAAGCGGCCCCAAATCCACCTGGATTCAAGGCTTCTACTTAGCGGTTCCCGGGGTCCAGGCCGGCTCTAGCAGCTCAGCTGCAATCCAGGAGGATTTTGCTCAAATTCTTGCACAAGAACCAAAGCCATCAGGAGTGCAAGGTGCTCTAGCATCACCCCACCGTGGCTCATGGCTTTGGATGCAGCCAGATTCAGGGGAGACCAGCCCAGCCCTGGGTGCAGCCCACCCTTGGGGCAACTCTGCCGTGCCAGCAGATGTATGCCAGGGGTGGGGGTGCCCCCTTGTTCCCCTCATCTGCTGCATACACACATAGAGCCGGACAGCCGACTGCCGCGTGAAACTGTGCAATATTTGAACGGGAGGGAGGGGGGGTGCTGGGTGCCTCAGCACATCCCAAAACCGCTCTGAGAAGGGAGAAAACAGAAACCCACCCCCACACGCCCGTCCTGCCCTGCCCTGCCCTGCCCTGCCCTGCCCGCCCCGTCCCTGCTGTTTGTTGGTTTCCGTGGCCGTTGCAGAGAAATGGCGCCGTGATCGGAGTTTTTCGGCATGCTGTCCCTTCCCCTCGCTGTTTCCTACGTGTACTGTATGTTTGACATGTGAAAGATGTAAACATTATGATTCAGGTTCTGTCTGTTCTTAACTCTGTATCTGTGTAATAAAGACGATTTACTATCACCCCCAGGCCTCGGCTGCGGTGGTCCCATGCCCGCCCTCCCCGGGCGAGCAGCCGGGCGTGGAGGGCGGCTCAGCCCTGCTGCATCTTGGGTGCTATCGGGGGACTCGGGGGTGGATCTAGCATTTTGAAAAGCGGGGTGCAACATGGCCATGTGCATCATCGCATCTCAAATGACACGCATTTCTCTCCTGTTCAAAAGAAGCTAGCAGCGTGACTAATGCTAGGGCTGAGCACTGCACGATTCGGTTTGAAGAAGCAAAGAAACCAAATATCACTTCGTTGGAAAGAGTTCAAATCAACCTGGCAGGGCTGTGAAAGAGGAGCTTCAGTGGCCAGGAGCAGCGACAGGGCAGAAGAAAGAGGGTGGGTCACACCTGTGGGACGAAGAGTTTGTAAGGGGTCGGGTAGAGAAGGAGCCACACGAAGGCTCTTTTTGCTGCACCAGTTTTTAAACCCTCTTAGGGAGCAGGGTTTCCAAGCTGGGTCCCTTTAGAGGGTTTCAAGATGGGCTTCATACCTAAGGACCGTGTCTGAAAATACATTGCCACCTCCGTGGCTCGTGGCAGGGACCCCAGGCCCCTGGGCCGCCAGGTTCAGGGAGCCTGGCGCTCTGCGTTGTCTCATGCATGGGATATGCAGGACAGGTCTGCAGAGCAGGGCACGTTCCCAGCCGGGCTCTCCCGACCCACCAGAGGATCACACGGATCTAATGGGGCTGGAGGATCACACGGACCTAATGGGGTGACTCCTGACACGAAAAGGATGGTCCCTGCCGGGTCCCCTCCACTTTATGGCCAGGACTCCTCCCCGGGGAAGGGTGCTGGGTACACTGGCAGAGCCCCCAGACCTACCCAGCACCCCCACCTGGATCTGGGCTGCCAGGGGCAGGGCTGCCGGGTCCTTGGCTCTGCTGGGCTCCCCTCCTGGAGGCCTGGGGACCCCTAATCTGAATGACTTAGGTGGCAGGGCTGCCTCTGCAGGGTGGTGCAGCCACCTCTGGGGTGGGACACGGCAGCTGCTCATCCTGGCACATTCCCCAGCTGAGTAACCCAAAAGCCTTGACCTTGACCCTGCTCCCTGGGCGGTGCTGGACCAACCCCCGGCACCCTGCAGCATGCCCAGCAGGTCGGGGCAAGCTTCCCAGGGGTGCTGGAGGGGCTACGAAGGGGGTCCTGCCAGGGCTTTGCGAGCCAGCCTGCACCAGGGGCGAGCAGCTGGCAGCCACAGCTGCAACCACTGGGCAAGCTGGCCCGAGGCCCCGCCTCCTCCGGAGGGCAAGCTGCGATTGGCTGCTGATGTATCAAATGGGGGAAGTGGCGGGGCAGGTGGGGGCTGCTGGTGGAGCTGCGATGGCCGGCCTGGGAGCAGGGTAATGGGGCAGGGGCATGTCCCAGTAAGGCTTGTGGCACTGCTGGGTGCTGGGGTGGGGGGTACTGGGATGGCACAGCCCTGTCCTACCTGCTGCATGTCCAGGTGTCAGGTGCCCGCTAAGCACCCGGCTGTTTCTGCCTGGGGGTCTCTGGGCAGCCCCTCATTAGAGCAGTGTCTCACCCCATGGGTTGTGATGCAAAAGTGGGTCACGGGAATATATGAAAGGCCTGCAAACAAATGGTAAAGAGTTTCTTTTCTCCTTTCAAGGAGAAAAATGTGGGAAACAGGGGGGTTTCCCTTGCAGGCTGGCAGAGCTCCAGCCTGCAAGGGGCTGCTTGGGGGCAGATGCCCTGCCCTGCCCTGCATGCTGGGGGCAGCAACGCAGGACTGAGGGGCACTGGATGGGGACTGGCCATCAAAGTTTTCACAAATGGGTCCTGGTCCAAAAAAGGTTGAGAACAGGGGTCCTGGGGATCTTGCATTGAGCCCGTGAGCTCTAAGAAGACCCCCACAGGCCAGGCAGCATCCCAGACCGTGTTTGGCCAGAGGACCTGCCCTGCCGCTCCCCTGGCTGCTCGTGAGACCTGCTAGGGGCTGGGTCAGACCCTGGGTCCGTGTTGCCCAGTCTCCTGTGACAGCAGGTGCTGGAAGGGAGTGTGGACTGGGTCTGAGCTGGGTTTCCCCCTGCTCCTCTCCTGCTTGCAGCCCGCAGCACTGAAGGTCCAGGCAGGTCTGACTCGGAGCCCGTGCCCCGCGCTCCCTGCTCAATAGAGACCAATGCCCCTTTCCTCCAAGCACGTATCCAGTCCCTGGGTGAATCTGGCTCTCGGCTTCCACCGCATCTGGTAGCAATGAACCCCGTGCTTGAAGGACGCGCTGCTCTGACTTGCCTGGTTCTCTCCCTGTCCCTGTGAAGCTCATTCTTCCTGGACCCCTGTGGGATCTGGTGGCAAGACCCCATGGGGGCCCCAGTGATGGGGGACTCCTGGGATGTGGTGGAGATGGCTACCCGGCAGAAGATGGATGAGGACTCGGACCTGAGCCAGCTGGAGGGAGACAGCGTGGAGGAGCTGGAGGTGGAGGACCCGGTGAGTGGACCATCCATGGCAAAGGTCCTTGCTGGGACCTGCCATGGGGCAAAGGGAGAGCCCCCTCCTTGCAGGGGTGGTGAGGTCCTGGCCCTGTCTGGGGGGCTGTGTGCACCTGTGAGCATTGCCAGCACCTCGGGCACCATGCCCCTATGGTGCTTTGGGGTGCCGCACACTGAGCTGCTCTATGATGCTTCCTCATTGCCTTGAGAGAGGAGGTCTGAACTTTTGGGTGCATGGGGGGGGACTCATGGGAAGGCACTGGAGGACTATCACCCCTTCAGGGATTTAGTCTCCAGGGCAGCGGAGGGTCATTGGGGGTTTAATTCTCTTGCTGGGGCATACAGTGGGGTATAAAGCAACACCAGGCATGGGGGTGGTAGGGCCACCCCACTTCACGTCAGAGCCCAGGCACTGCAAAGGCACCTGTAGGGAGTGATATCTCCATCCAGCCTTTGCAGAGTATTTGGCACAAAGAGGCTTCTGCTCCTGCATCCCTAATACCAGGCTTGTTCCTCCACCTGAGATGCCTCAGACCTGGAGGCAACTCCCGGGTCTCTAAGGGAGTAAATCGAAGCAGACCCACAGAAATGGGGTAGAGCTCACGAAAGCTGCCAAGGGCCAAGCTTCGGAGCCACTGCTGCCCCTCGCACTGCTCGGTTCTCACCTTGGCTTCATTAGTGTACGTGGCTCTGGTTTGTCTGCAACCAGCTGCAACTCTGCTCCCCTCTGGGCTGTTTGAGTTGCAAGTGCTGCAGGGGAGCATTCGCTGCCAGCAAATGCTGCTTTGCGGTGGTGTTAAGGACACGCTGCTTAGACTCCCCTCTTCTCCAAAGCATACGTCAGGAGCTGAAATCTCTCCTGTAAGCCAGGAGCAAGTGTGAACGAATGGCAGGTGTGTGAGCCAGCGGCCTGACCGGTCTTGTGCCTTTCTGATCAGCAGTGAGGACCGCAGAGCCCAAATCCCCCGGCTCCTCTTCCTCCATGTCCCTGATCTCCAATGCCCTCAACTTCCTAAGGGCAGGGTGCAAGCAAACCCTGCCTCTTTCCCCATAAAACTCGCCCGTGCCAGGCACTGCAGACTGAGAATAGCCAGGATGGGCAGGGGGAGCAGCTGCCGCAGCGTCCTCTTCGGGCACTGCGTTCTCATGCCCGTGGCATCCCGGCTTGGTGTTAGGAGCTGGAAGCCATCAAGGCCAAAGTGCGTGAGATGGAGGAGGAGGAGGAGCGGCTGAAGGAGCTGCAGGCGGAGGCCCAGAGTCGCCTTCTCATGGCAGCGGAGGCAGGTACAGTGCTGCAGCCTCTGGGTGGTGGGGCAGGGGCCATTAGGCAGTGAAGGTGCCTCTCTGGGGTGCATCAGGGTGGGCTGTCTGAGTTGCGGGGTCTCCAATACCATCCCCTGAAGCTTGGTCACTGTAGGGAGACAGAAAACCCAACCCATAGCTCATCCTTCTTGGTGATTTGCTTCTAAAACACCCTCTCCCTCCCCACAACCGCCACCACCACCTGCACTTCCTCCTCATTTCAAAGGTTCCCTTGTCCCGGCAGGGTTTTTCTTTCCTAGGACGGCAGAGGAAAAAATCAAGGCTGATCAGAGATCTGTCTACGTGGGAAACGTAAGTGGGGAGAAAGCCACCGGTGCTTTTTCTTTCTGGGCAAAAAGCTGAGCTAGCCCATTGCTCCTTGTACTAACAGCCATGAGTACCTGGAGCCTCCTCGAGCCCCTTTCTGGGAGCAGCTGTCTTGAATTTACTGCTTCAAACTCATCTCCGTGATTTCCATCTGTTGCAAGGGGTTGGCTGCAGGTCTTGGCTGTTCAAAATCCTGAGTGGTTTGATCAGAGTCGTTATCATGTGCTGCGGTTTCTGTTTCCCCAGCTGGGTGATCCTGTCTCTTGGGACTGGGTGCATCTGTCTGGGTGGGATTCGGGTACCATGGATCACCTAGTGCAAGCCAGACTGAAGTGACTTGTAGGCCTTGTGAACTGGAGCTGGGGGAATACTGGGCTATGCAGCTTCCAGCACCCTTCCTACCGGTGCACTCCTTCGTGGGAATCATTGCATAAATGCAAAGACAAAAACTGTCCAGTGCTGCCTGGGCTTACGCGGGTTTGGACTGGAGTGAATGTGCACAGAAAGGTTTCAGTGGCATTCACCTGATCCTGGATAACCTGCTGGATCTGAAGTAACAGGAGCTCAGTATCCAGACTCAAAGATGCAGAAAGGCCCAGGCAATGCTGGAAGCAATAGAATCAGGCTTGGAGCACGCAGGTCGCATCTTAGTTCTCTCCTGCTGCAGACAGGACCTGTTTGGCACGATGTAAACCTGGCTGCAATGACATTGGCATTGAGCCACGTCCCGATTTATAGCGCCCGGCACGGCGGGCTACCACTGGCTCATGTCATTGGTGCGAGTTGCCTGTGTAGGAGCTAGGAAAGGGATGCCTCCTAGATGGCCTCGTGGCATTGTTTAATGAGGCATGAGTGGAGTGGGTGGAGGGCTGGGCCATGCCCTTGTGCGTGGCTGAGAGGGGCATGCTTTGGCAGGTGGATTACGGTGGAACAGCGGAGGAGCTGGAGTCCCATTTCAACAGCTGCGGGCAGATCAACCGCGTCACCATCCTCTGCGACAAGTTCTCCGGACATCCGAAAGGGTCAGCTGGGCCGGTGGTGCCTGGGACGGTGCAGGGGGGTGCACGCTGTTCTGAGATCCCCAGGCCTCTGCCACCCTGCAAACCTTGACCCCCC